AATGATTCATGAGATCATTCAGGGTCCCAAACATAATCTGATTGTTCTGCTAATACGGTTTCGTCATCTGTATTTTGTGGTCTAATATTTTTTCTTGCATGTGCAATAAGACCAATATTGTGACTAAAATAATCAATTATGAACCATGCTAAGATTTTTTGTATGTCGTATTTATATGTTGTCTTATGTCATTTTTTGTTAGATCTTCTCTGATTGCATTTAAAAATTTTGAAAATATGTGTATTTACTGTCGTCCAATTGTGTGTCGAGATGTTTGAGTTGGTGAATCGCTTTGAGAATCTTTCAATTCTAATATAGATAACTATTTATAGATAAAGGAAAATACATCATTTGTGAATATTGATTTTGCTCTTATTGAGTTTTGGTGTTGTATTTTTTCGATGTATGATGTAAAAACGTTTGAAAATTCAATGTCTATGTCATCAGTTTGAATGAGATATCTGTCATGAAATTCATTTGGTGATTTGATTTCTATTGTGTAGATTCCAAATTGTGATGTGAGACTACATATACCTTTAGTATAGTGGTCAAGAAGTTGTCTTTTGATTTTTACATCGGGAAAGTCTCTTGTGCTCGAACTTTCTCCTTTTTCGAATAAATTTGCGATTAATTTTTGGCAAAATTGTACCTGTCCTCGGGCTTCAGTTAATGGATGTACTAAGACTGGAATTTCTGAATTTTTTGAGTTATCTTCATTTCGAATCATTTTTGTGTTGTATGACTGTTAGTGTGTAATTTTCACTGTGTTTTTTTGGTTGATTCCAATTTTACAAACGTTTTGGTTTGTTTGTGTAGCAATTTTTATTCTACGTTTCCCTTTTATTGATGATGGTGACGTGGTTTTGAGTCAGTAAATTATATTTGATCTTCAATTTGATGGTTTTTGTTTATTGAGTCGTTTAAATTGTGAAATTCTTGTATTGCGGTTGTTTCTGATTCTGAATTTTTTCCTAATAATTTGTTTTTGGTTTGTTAATAATTTTTTTTTAGTGTTTGTCTTTTTGTTCTCATGTATCCTACTGATTGTCTGTGTGGTGTGATTACGAGGTCGTATCTTTCGTCGTTCATTACGTATTAGGATTGTTTGTTTGTTTCCGAAATTGTCTCTTGACATAAGGTTTAGGATGATGGGTGCAAAATCTGGATTAATGATTCTAACTTTTTAAACTGTTAATTTTTACGATTTTTTGTGGTTAGCTTCATTTGGTTCTGCTTTTTTTGTGGTTTTGTTGGGTTGAAGAGAAAAGCGTATATCGATTCCTGAGAATGATTTTTACTTTCTCGTGACAAATTCTAAGCTAAGATAGACATAGCTAATTTTACTTAGGGGTTGTGATTTGTGATCAAAGTTTAGAGAATAGTAAATCGATCCATAAGGTTCAGGTATAATTAGAATGCAAGTAGTTCGTTAGATACTATTTTATGACTTACTAAGTTTAAGTGTTTAAGCCTGGGTCATCTAAGAGCAGGGGGATCAAGTGAAGGATGAGTAATCGAAGTTCTTCACTGTTTATCTTAATTAAAATGGTTAATTTTTTGAAAATTTTCTGTTAATTCTGGGTCTTTGATAAGGGTTGGGCAGTGAATCGACGTTTGAGGTCGTTAGACACTAATTAAATTGGGGGGAGGGAAGAAAATTGTACTATTTGATCCAAGGATAGGCCTTGATGATTTTAGGCCTCTAGAAATTTTGATATAGTTTAATTTAATTTAAAGATCCAAGAGAAGCCTTGATGATCTGTTATTTAAAATAAATTTACTTAAGTGAAAACAAAGACAAGCCTTGATAGTTTATTGATAAAAGGTTAGGGTTAAGTTTTAGTTTTGATGGTTGTTAGTTTTTGCGATTTGCTGTTATGTTTTAGGTGATGAAGCTGGGATGAAAAAATGAATTATATATACTCTAACGATGTATGATTTATACTAACTAATTTTGTATTTTAGATTCAATAAATATTTTTTCATGATGTTATTTAAGTTACAGCTGATTTAAGGAAAACGACAAGTGTTGTTTTTATCCGTCGTTATTGTACAATTAGTAGGTTTAGCGCCATGAAAGGTTATTGAAGAAAATTTTTCAAAGTATTATGTCAGTAAATGAAAGTTTAAATTTACTGCTTGTAGTATCCTAAATACAAAAGTTTGATCACGTTATGGTCGTACTATCATGAAATCGATTGGTAGATTTCTTCCTAATCGTATGTCGTCTCTTGTTCGAGGTCTTCTTCCAATACCGGGTAGTTCTCGTATTGTTCGGAATATTGGATTTGATCTATTGAGTCGTAGAGACATATCTACTAAGTTTTTGTCATACAACATTTTTTCAAAATGTTGTATTTGTCTAATTCTAATCTATATTTTTTCTAAGTCTAAGTTAGTTAACGTCTAATCGAGACTTTTGGTCGCACCAGATGAGTTATGTATTGGTTACTATGCTCATAGAGTAACTTCAGATAAGGTACACCGTCTGCTCATCACGCTATCTTATTTTCGGCCGGATAGATTCGTGCAACTTCTTAGTCTAAAACCAATCTTAATCTTACTCTTATATCTCTTTGTCTCAATAGATCTAGTGTACACCGGTTTGCGCAAGTTAGTTCCAGAATGAGAACAACAGTATTCTAAGTTTAATTCAAATTGTTCTGGTGTTGAAACTACAAGTAGTATCAACACTTACAAATAAGTGGGTTGTTAGTTTGATGGAGTATGATTGGTTAGTATTTAATATTTTATAGAGATAAAATATCATAATAATAACCAATGAAAAATACTAGTTTAGATCTGGTTCCAACAGGAAGATATAATCATTTTTAAGCTAAAACGTTAGTCCCGGTTTCAAGAGGCAGAAAACCAGAACAAAAGGATCTCTTTGCTCGGATAGACAAACTGTTTTCTGTTTTGAATGATAAACCAATAATTGACATTATTGGTTGCATTTCTTTGCTAGAAAAATTGAATTAAAGCCAGCATTTTCTGAATGCTTACCAATAGTTATGTTACAGTCCCATAGTTTGCCACAAAAGATGAATTATTAATGATTTGATTCATAAAAAATCGGTGCGGGCAAATCATGTTTAATGAAAATAGGGCTAAGTTTCTGAAGTTTAAGTAGCGCATTAATTTTATTCAGGGTAGCCGATACAAAATTTTTTGAAATTATATCTAGATAAACTCATCTTTTCAGGGTTTTTGACAAATTTGTTTTTCCTTTTCTGGCGTTTTGTTAGTTTTTTTTGGGAATAGAAAAAATTTGATTCAACAAAAAACTGAACTCTTTCGTAGATCACTCCAAAATTGTAGAAAAATGAAACCCTACTGAAACCCAGTCGTCTGAAAAACAGACTTATTACTCACTTGTTATTTACCGCTAATGTTATTTCTTTTTGAAAAATTACAATGAGGTGAAGCTTCGCCTCGCAAAAATTAGCGAGAATAAGAAAAAATGCAGCTCTTTAAAGTGCAATAAAAAAACCAAAAACAAGCCTCGAATTCGTCAAAAATTCGGCTATTTGTCTGGTTCAATCCTGCGATCAAGAGACTTTAAGAGTCGCACTCAAGAGTCGCTCACATTGAGACTCTGGTACAATCCTGCGACCAAGAGTCGCTCACACTAACCACTTAGCCACGGAAGCTTAAGGGAACACAACCCCCAGCCATAAATAAAGCAGAGAACAGAAGCTATGAAAATTCCAATACTAGAGATTGTAATTAATTATAGCAAAAGTGCCGCCAAATGAACACTTTAATGAATACTTTTTATTAGCGCGATAGGTTAGAAAAAAAAGAATGAACGCACTAATACGCTAACGCTCACAAGCTTGATAGTGTAGTTATATGAAAAATATTGAACTTTTTGATAATTGATTTATCATGATTGAAGGCGCATTTTATAAAGCACTTGTTGCGTCCATGCTGAGGAAAATCCTTAGACCATAGTTTCTTCTCACTGCCTCAGCTCGGCTCATACCACATCAACTCAGATTATAGCCACTGCCTCACCTATCAGTCTCTGGAAAACACTTTGATTGTGTTTGACTTTGTTTCGACCAACTCGACTTTATGTTTCGATTTTGTGTTCGACTTTATGTTTCGACAGATTCGACTTTATGTTTAGACGATGAGGTTGACTATGGGGCGTTCTCTACAATGGATTTTTGGTCGAACTCTGACATGTCTTCGACCCGCCTCGGTCGAAACAAATTGCAAACCTCGACCCGGGTATGATCAATCACACACAATTTGGAGAAATCTTTGACGCCCCTTAAATTTAATTATGAAAATGAGTGCACCAAAAACTTAAACAAACTTTTTCATGGACGGTAAAAAGTTGATTGTTGAAAGTTTGATTTGAAATAGACTTTGCCGGAAAAAACTTTGGATCAGTGGGTCCTTTGATATATACTTTGATTAACTTGATTGATGGCCCAAATTGGTCCAAAATACAGTAGCTTTCTTCACTATTAAATCATCACCTTTTGCCTTGGAAATTACGTATAATTTCTTTTATCCTGATTGATTGAATAAATGATGAACTATTAACTGAGCTAATTAATCACAAAAATATAGATTAAGTTTGTCAAGCATATTGAAACATTCATCTGATGGTAAAAGTTATCGCATTGCTGAGCATGGACACGGTGTATTAATCTGTAACTGTATCGAGCAAGATCTTCTCAAGATGTCGCCGATCAAGACAAGAAGATGTTGCCGTACGGAACCTATCGGTTGGAACAAACTTACCATCTACTCTAAGCTGTTTTCAAATTAACATGCCGTGACTTTATACATTTTAGTCATGCACTCAAATTACTAAAAACTGGAGCTCAAAAAGCCGAAAACTTCATGGTAATTTTGGATGGTCAGTTAGTAAATTCAGGTCAGTTTTCGGTCAAATTATTATTGAATCAACCAAAATGAAATTAAATGGAACAAAAACGAAGGTAAAATAAACCACATGAAGCGTGTCCGTCTTATTTGAGGCACACATGTGGAAACAGCAGCTTGTGAAAAGTTAAGACCAGTATCTGAAACTTTCAGAATTCATTATCTCAAGCATTTCTGAGGAATCAAGTTGGCAAAAATTGGAAACTTTTCAATCATGATGACAATGTTTGGTTAGTATTTTTACTTTTACATGTTTCACTCAAAATTTTTGAGAGCTTGATGATACAAAGTTGAAAATTTTCTACGATCTAAAAGTAATGTTAAAGACTTGCGAGGTGACAAAGAGGTCAATTTCTGATGGCGCGTCATTCACTTTTTCTGACTGGGCGCCCTTCATGCGCGATAACATTGAAGTTTCATCAGAACTCTTTATTCATAATTCAAAAAGAAATAAGCAACAAAATCAGTCAGTTTAGGACCGTTTAAAGGGCATTGATTGGTTGAGAACGTTCGCGCATTCTGCTATTCTTTGCTCATGAGAATAACCTATTCCCTTGTTTTTTCGAAAGTTTTTTCAAACACCGTCAGGGCAAACGTGAGATGCATGTATTAGTGACCTATGATTACAGTATTTCTACCGACGCTAAAAATGTTCATTCTTAGCTAATTTGCAAAAGAAAAGATAAATCAAGAGGAAAACTTAGAAATAAGCCGAACTCTAGTTGACAAAAACAATGAGACAGCTCTGTAATCACGCCGAAAAGTTTATTTTGAAGTTGAAAAAAACTGAAGAACGATTGTACCAGTTTTCCTCAATAAAAACATGTTTGAGTTTCCCGCGCACAGGAAGACATTAATTAGCATTCCTATCTAAACTTTTTCCGCTATCTCTGTAACTATATTCTTCATTTTTAGTTTTGATGGCGCTGGTTACAGTTCATCAGCAATTGACAATGGCAATGCCAATGAATGGGACAAGTGTTGAAACAGGAGCGACTGCTCCAGGACCAGGCGCATCTGCATCAGAGCTGCAAGCATATAAAAACGATCTCCTAGCCGAACTGGGTATAACCTCGCCTCCTCGAACCGGCGCAAATCCTCCAGCTCCAGGTGCAACTGCAGCTGAAATCCAGGCATATAAAACCCAGATCCAAGAGGAACTGGGAATTGAAACGCCTCCCCGAACCGGGGCGGTTGCTCCAGGCCCAGGCGCAACTGCACCTGAAATCCAGGCATATAAAACCCAGATCCAAGCAGAACTGGGAATTGAAACGCCTCCCCGAACCGGGGCGGTTGCTCCAGGCCCAGGCGCATCTACAGCAGAACTGCAACAATATAGAACCGAACTTCAAAACGAGCTGGGTATAACCTCACCTCCCCGAACCGGGGCGGTTGCTCCAGGCCCAGGCGCATCTACAGCAGAACTGCAACAATATAGAACCGAACTTCAAAACGAGCTGGGTATAACCTCGCCTCCTCGAACCGGCGCGAACCCGCCAGCTCCTGGCGCAACTGCAGCTGAAATCCAGGCATATAAAAGCCAGATCCAAGAGGAGCTGGGAATCGTATCGCCACAAGGTTAAAAGCTGTACCAGATCTGGAGGAAACATAATACGAATAAGGAATCAACCAATGGTAAAACTGAACTTGGAGCAGCAAAATATCCAATGACTCAACTAATATGTATAGTATCTGGTGAATACATATAAAAAATACAATATTACGACAATAGTTTTGAGTCTATTATTTAACATCGAGAAGACCATCGAGTCACGTAAGAACAAAGTTTTGAACATGGTTTCATCCAGTGTGAAAACCATGGAAGCTCAAAATGCTAATAGACAATGATTAGCGCGAGTGAAAAACTTAAGAGAGACAAAACGACTGCAGAAAATTTTTCACCTAGAATCAAGCAACAATTAATTTAGAATAATTAAAATCCAAATATTACACAATTTCAGCACAATATTTAGAGAAACGTCTTTTTAATTGTACTATTTCATTTCGAGTGCAAAAAAAAAACATGACAGTTCGTATCAGGGCGAAACCCTGAAGGTTCTAATTCCCCTCAACGTCTATGAGGTAGGTTTTAATTTCAATTCTACAAAATAGAAGAAAATTTCCAAAAAAATACCCCTACCCGACTCTCATGCCAGGAACAAAGTGACAATTTTGCATTTTTTAACTTGTCAGTAAGTGAAAACAGCTTGCCTCAATTCAATAAAAATACAAAACCTATTTTTTGATAAACAGTTCATGGCAATCTGCATGAAAAATGTTCTATAAATCCTTGTCAGGCTGAAACATTTTTTTTGCCATTCAGCAATTCAGAACATCAAATATTAGTTTAAATAGGGTTTGGTACATTAAAGTTTTGAAATCAAAATATGCCATTGTTTCTGAAACCTCCCGCTGGCTGTAATTTTAAATGCAGAGACATCAATTCTGATGTTAGTAATGGAATAATATAAAGTTAATCAATCAACTTGCTCATTTTTAGTTGGGAATGCATTTTTAACCCGAATTTTTTGCGCACTAAGCTGCGCTGTTACCGAAATTGTTGGAAAATCCAATTTTGAACAAATTTGTACGTTTCAACCTCACTTTTATTCAAAAATTTATCAAGAACAGAACTTTCGTCCTTTTTGAATGTAAGGAATCTGTTCATTCAAATTTTTCATAATTCCACAAAATTGTTGGCTGCAAAGTCAACAAGACTGCTCGTATCAGGGCGAAGCCCTGAATGTTCCGACTGACTTTTAATATTCAAGAAGCAGTAATAACCTATAAAAAAATTAAAGGTAATAAAATAAAAAGAAAACTTTTTTTCTGAAATTTGAAATTTTTTATGCAAATCATCCCCCCACACGCCATATTAAGTAGAAAAGGATAGATTTTGCTCTTTGTAACAGATCAATTATGGCAAATAAGCTTCTTATACCAATTTGGAGCGATTTATAAGTTGGGTTAAATCTCCGCTTACGCGTTAATAGCGCGAAATTTATCGCGCGTTAATTGTCCCAAATTGGCCACAATGGCAATCTTTAAACCCCCATAACTTTACGAAAAATGATCACAGGTGAAATATCTTTTCAAATTTAAGCTCAAGACAACAATACCTTTTGAATGATAAAAAAAATCCGTCAAAAATGGCTAGGTAAAAAAGTCGAAATTTGTCTGAAGAAAAAAAACCCACCCCGAGCACAAATATTCCGTTACTTTCGTATCGAAAGTCGGAACAAAAATTGTCTGTAGGAAAACAACCACACCCCAGCATAATCTATTCTGACTTATCCTTGAAAGTGCAAACAATACAAACAAAACTGCTTGTATCAGGGCGAAGCCCTGAATGTCCCGACTGCATTTTAAGGTTTATGGAGCAGTAATAACATTAAAAAAATTCAATTAAATAAAGCAAAATGAAAAAAAAAATTCTAAAATTTGAAGTTTTTTATGAAAATCATCCCCCCACACGCCATATAAAAAACAAAAGGATAGATTTCGCTCCTTGTAACAAACCAAATAGGGCAAATAAGCTTCTTTTAACCAATTTGGAACGATTTCTAAGACGGATTAACTCTCCGCTTACGCGTTAATAGCGCGAAATATACCGCGCGTTAATTGTCGCGAATCGGCGAAAATGGCAATCTTTAAAACCCCATAACTCTACGAAAAATGATCACAGGTGAAATATCTTTTCAAATTTGAGCTCAGGACAACAATACCTTTCCAATGATATAAAAAGATTCCGTCAAAAATGGCTAGTTAAAAAGTCGAAATTTGTCTGAAGAAAAAAACCCACCCCGAGCACAAATATTCCGTTACTTTCGTATCGAAAGTCGGAACAATTAAGGAAGCTATGTTTTTGTCTGCGATTCCACTTTGTCTTTTGCGAAAGCCAAGTCGCCCCTTTGCTAACGCTAACCAAATTTTATTTTAACCAAACTGTATTTTTTCAGATAACATTCCAAAAAGATGCTCATAACGATTAAGTAGTTATTTCACGGATGTAACAGTTTCGAACACGTTTTGCTCAAAAAAATTTTACAGACTCAGCTTGGATTTTATTTTTTGAGTCAAAAACATGTTCACAATTTGCGGAACGTTTGAGGCCTTGAAAACAAGTGAATTGGCGAAATCAACATTTTGAAGCAGTAAAAAGAAAAACTTCTGTTCTGAATCAAAAAGTTTTGATAACAATTTTGACTTCGCGTGTTGAAATAAACTTTTCAATTTAAGCTATTTTGTTGTAATTTTTGGCGCATATTTCCATTTTGCTGTTTGCAAATTACTCATTTTCTAATTTTTTTGGATAAATTTTATAGCGCTGAAAAATCAAATGTAAAACTCAGAACAGAAAAAGTAAAAAAAAAGAACGCAATAGATTTTTTGAAAAGGGTCTCAAAGAGTTTAGCGAAAAGTTCAAAATGTAACAGTGATCAAAATAAACACTCAGCCCAAAAGAAACAAGATTGCTCGTATCAGGGCGAAGCCCTGAAAGTTCCGAATGCCTTTAAGGTTTATGGAGCTGTAATAACAAAAATTTTTTAAATGTAATCCCAAACTCAGTAAAAAAAACTAATCGATTAATGTTATAATTATAATCGTACTTTTAACAAAAACATAATTAATTATGAGCGCCAATTTTAGATGTTTAAACGATTTAATAATCCATTATAATGATAACAGTTTTGGTGACATCCCTAAATCTCTGATGGCCATAAGTACAAAATTACTGTTTCTTTTAGTTCGGTAACCAACTGAAAACAAAACAAATCAAAAATAAAACCAAACAAAGCGATGACGTTTGTTGAATAATAATGGATTATAATCCATTATATGGATTATACTTCAATAAAATTTGAGAAACAGACTTTCAAAAACTAATCGATTATAATCGATAATAATGATTTTTTTTTGTTTCGAAAAATAGTAACATTATATTCCTTTTTTAATCGAATATAATCAATTATTTTTGGAATTTATGAAGACTGACAATGAAAATCCTTTATATTCTACTATTTTTTCTTTTTACTATTCGCGAGATAGAAAAAAAATTGAAAAAATGTTTCTGAAACTTGAAATTTTTCGTGAAAACCATCACTCCACATGCAATTTAAAGTACTAAGGGATAAATTTCGCTCCCTGTAACGAATCAATTGTGGCAAACAAGCTTCTTTCAACCAATTTGGAACGATTTCTAAGACGGATTAAATCTCGCTTACGCGTTAATAGCTCGAATTATATCGCGCGTTAATTGTCCCAAGTTGGTCAAAATGGCCAAAATGACAACCTTTAAACCCTCATAAATTTACAAAAAAAATCTTCGTGTGAAAAATCTTTTCAAATTTAAGCTCAGGACAACGTTACTTTTTGAATGATATAAGAAATTCCGTCAAAATGGCTAGTTAAAAAGTCAAAATTTTTCTGAAGAAAAAGAAACCCACCCGAGCACAAATATTCCGTTATTTTCGTATCGAAAGTCGGAACAACAAGACTGCTCGTATCGAAGCCCTGAAAGTTCCGACCGCCTTTTAAGGTCTATGGAGCATTAAAAAGATGAAAAATATCAAAGTAATAAAAAAAGAAATAATTTTTTTTGAAAAAATTTGAGATTTTATGTAAAAACATCCCCCCACACGTCATATTAAGTACAAAGTGATGGATTTTGCGCCTATTAACAAATCAATTATGGCATATAAGCTTCCTTGAGCCAATTTGGAACAATTTCTGTGACGGATTAAATCTCGCTTACGCGTTAATAGCGCGAAATTAATCGCGCGTTAATTGTCCCAAATTAGCCAAAATGGCAATCTTTAAGCCCCCATAACATTACAAAAAATGATCACAGGTGAAATATCTTTTCAAATTCAAGCTCAGGACAACAATAGCCTTCGAATGATATAAAAAATTGCGCCAAAAACGGCTAGTTGAAAAGTCACAATTTGTCTGAGAAAAAAAAACCCACCCCGAGAACAAATATTACGTTACTTTCCTATCGAAAGTCGGAACAATTATTGAAGAAATGTTACTCGTTGTAGAAAGCTTTTAAAAACTCTTTCTTCACTAGTTTTTAACAGATGAATAGCTTCATCATAATCATACAACCTCAAATTAATCAGAAATTACAAACTTTTGTTCAACTTTAAAAATAAAACAAAAAGTAAATTTTAGAGAAATGATTTGTTTAACTGGAATGACCTCCACCTAAATGAGATATCACATAATTTCAGACTTTTAGCTTTTAATTCCGATACGCAGCCGCCTTCATTTGTTTGATAATTAGGCGTTCTGTTTTTGTAGGAAAGTCCTAAGTGTTGGATTAAAGTTTGATTGAGCATTTTTTTTATGTTAGTTGGATCATCGCCTTTGCAGCTAAAAAGATTTTGTAATTTCTGGCCTTAGAAGCAAAATTTTTTTCATCTGATGTATTTTAAGTGCAACACGCTTTGGTTTTTCCTAAAATCTACGCAGTCATTCAGATTCAGGCAGCGGACACTTTGTTTGCTATAAACAATATTTGTGAACTTCGCTTAATATTTTTGATTTTCAAAACCAAGAAAAATAGACTGGTTTTTTGACTGAATAGCAAATTTTTGGTAACTTCAAGACATTCAAGACCGGGCTGAAGTATTGATCTAAAAAAGTTGGACCAAAAACAGTTTTGGACCAAAAAATACTCCGGGTATTCAGATCTAAGCAGCTGAGTACCTTTCCAATCAAGCCTACAG